AGGCGGGGGGGGCGGGGGAGGGCATTTGAGATATTCAAAATTTAAGAAAGGATTTGGGAATATTCATTAAAATATCCCTTAAATTAAGAAAAAGACGCAGATTTAGAATTGTGTAGGTAACACTTAGAAAAAAGGAGCAGTGTGGGTTAGTGGTTTGAGTTTAATTTTGTTTCTTAGTTAAGATATTAGTAGTGCCAATGGTGGGAAGGGAGGAATCCCAATGGAAATTAAAAAATCTGTTACTGCATCAAGCAAAACCTGATCGTAGATTTTCCCTAAGTTCTGTCTAATAAAGGAAGAGAACCTATAGGCATCGGCCCTGAGAGTGTGTTTTTAATGACAGTGAGATACAGTTTCTTTACCCCAGCAGCCTGAAGTATAGCTGAGCTCGGGATTGCAGCTGAAGGGGTGAATCCTGCCTACTCGTTACGTGGCTGGGAAGAGCACAGAGGCGTGGAGCTGCAGGGAGCGGCCGAGCTCAGGGAGGTCCAGGCCCTCGCCATCACACTCACCAGTGAACAGATGGACAGAGACTTGTTGCTGTTCTTCGGTTTGGAGGGCGTTAGGCATGACTTCAAAAGGCCAGGCAGGGATCAGATGTCAGGCGCAAGCCTGGAAAGTTGTCTCTATCCCTGTGCGATAGTTCAGTTTCAGAGCCTCCTTCCAGAGGAAGAGTAGCTGAGATTGCTGTGCTCATCTGGTTCCGTAGGTGAGTCTTCAGTAGTATCCTTAAGATTTGAAAGCAATGATTTTCCCACATGACGTTAGAAAGGGATCGTCCTTCTAGTGGAACACTTAGAAAATGAGCTCCTTTTCCTCAGCCCCAAAATAAATTTTTATACACTTCTGAGCATGGCACGAGTTTTGCATTTATGGAAAGTGCGACTGATCTGTGAAACAAATAATGTGATAGCTTCAGTCTCACACCTTTTATTAAGCAAAATTCGACTTCCAAGGAAAACTATTTTACTAGTGATCTGTCATATTTTCAGCAGGAGGTAAGAAGGTGAGCTACTTTAAGCAAGTAGGTGAAAACTGCATGGTTGTATACCCTTGTGAGTGGTATTTCTGAAGGTTTATTTCCTTCTTTTGAGTAAAATGTACTTCACTGAGAAGGCTGAAGTAACACTGGGTATTTTGCAGAGACCAACTGTAACTCTCCAAAACACCACTTATTCTTTCCTAACATCGATCCCATCTTCATTTGCACTGAACGCACTAAATCATGGGGATCAATTTCTGTTTTCTCGGGAGAAATTAATTAATTTTGATGCCTTCCAAACCGTTGCCCAGCATTGAATTTACATAGGCGAAGTACTTGATAACAAGGCAGGACTCGGTCTCAGGCCTGATCTACACAGAAGTGATGGTGGTAGAGCGAGTTATTTAAATTTATATAAATCCTTAGTGGGGTTTACATTAATTTAAACTTTTACATGAACTTACCTTGATATGTATGCTAAGGATATTAAAAATTATGTAGCCAATTTTAAACAGAAACAGACAAGCAAGTCCAAACCATGCTGGGGCTTCCATTTTTGTGTAGTATGGCTGCTTTTCCAGAAGGCTTTTGGCTTAGTATCGCTTTCATATTTTAGTTTAAAAAATTCTGGCACTTAGTGGCATTCAAAGGGTGCTCATTAGGTAGATTTTAAACTGTCTCACTGACAGATCTCAAAATGCAGTCATTAAAACAGGGATGACAGTGTGCAGGACTATTTCTGGAAGATTTCTTTGGGGAACTGATTCTTGTTTTTATCAGTAGTCATCATGATGATATAAAATCTTGTGTGGTAAAGTTTGCAGTTAGTGCAAAAGTTCCTGGGTTGGTAGGTAATAAACAGACCATCTTGTCATTGCAGGGTAATCTGAGTCACCTGGTTAAATGTTTTCAGTCCACCAAAGTGTGTATTAATGCAGTAAAATGCAAGCTAATACACAAGAGTACAAACTATGACAACAGAATGGAAGACTGTCTTGTAAAACTGTATGACTTTGGAAAGGACGTAGGGATCAAGTAATTGCTTCAACATGAACTACCAGTGCAGTCTGTGCCTAAAAGGCTAAAACAATCTCTGAATGTCTCCAAAAAGGAGAATTAAGGAAGGGCTGTTGGCTCTCTGCAGCACTGGACAACAGCGTTCAGTTCTGTCAGCTGTGCTTCCAAGGTTGGTGGAGAGAAAAATGGAGAGAAGAAACAGGGAGGGAATAAAATCACAAAAATCATCCAGGGGCTGAAAAAATATGGATTATAGTGGGAGAGCTGGGGATCTGAGCTTACTTAGTGTATCCTGCTTATGGCAAAACCTAAACTGCTAAAAGTTGGAATAATGGGGGGGCAGTAGTGAGGATGTGAAGGTGCAGTCAGTGTTAGCTGACCTTCTGGGTTCTAATGAACAGGAAACTGAGGAGATTTTTAAAGCCATTGAGTGACTCACCACTCACTACATTCTGTGAGTAGAGAGAGATGCCTTGAAAATTGTTCAGACTTCCTGGTTGCTTATTTGAGGAAGCATTTTTGAAATTCTTACTTGCATTGGTGACCAGCAGAGAATGTTACTTCTGGAAGGTAAATCTGTGTTTCATCACTGTGAAGCCAGGAACTCCTTGGTCAGGTCCTGTTTCACAGATCCTTATTTGCAAAGCACTGCACAAGTTCAGTGTAAGAAGAATCAGATTCAGATTCAGAGACTGTTTGTCAGATACTAGGTTAATAATAAAAGATTTACGGGTTCAACTGGAACAGCAGACAAGTCCTAAACAGCAGCCAGGTTCAAAAATGACTCATCTCCTGTGTCTGGGAAATGTAAGTAAGACTGCTTTTTCCACAACTACTTTTTCTCATTAATGCCGTTAAGAATGACGTGATGGCAGCACAAGAAAATAAGCTGTATGTTCACATGTGTGGTGGCAGGTCTTTTGGGCACATGTTCTAGATGCAAGAGGCCCATACATATGGACCGTCTAAGAGTGAACTTGATGGACCACAGTAAAGTTGTCCACAGGGGTAAGTGTTTACCCATGTGGACCCAATTACAGGACTAAGGCCTATATTCTCTTACTGTAGCAGAAGACCAGTTAGGTTGTGGTCTTCTCTGTAGGAGAGCAATGATTTTAAGTGTGATTATATTTACGCTCCAAAAAAAACCCCTCAAAATTCCTTCTGTTCGTAATCTTTGTTCTAAAACTGCTCAGAGTTCGAGATGGAAAGAGCTGCTAAACTACTATAGGAGCAGATTTTCAAAAGCAAGAACATTGATTTGTGTGCTCTGAAGTGTGTGGACAGCTCAGTGAGTCTGCTTGGCCATCCTGGTGTGGATGTGGATGCCGATGTGTGTGTTTCACACATGTACATCACCCTGGACTCAGGGTCTGGATGTTCCTGCTAGAGTTTGCCTACATGGCTCTCCTTGCTGGCATTGAATATTCTCATCTGGGCTGTGAGAACATCAGAGGATAAATAAATGTTATGCCTGTCTGAACTGCCCTCATTGAGCTGGTTTAGTCAATTTATCACCATTCCTGGATTTTGAACTTAATCCTCCACCCATTCCCCAGTGTGTTGTTTAGGGTTGGACTCTGAATGTTCCCTGGCATCAGAACAGATTTCTCTGGTGCACACCTCAGAGACTGACCTACGAAAATACATAATTTGAATTTTATTAACGTATTTCTTGTGTATGTAACAGCAAGTCACTAAAGAGGTGGGGGGGTCGGGGAGCAGTTGCAAGTACTCCGCATGCAGGGGGAGCTGCCAACTTGTTTAAATGAAGGTTCAAATGCCAGAAGCAATGAAGAGGGCTGACTCTGTCAAGCTGCCTCCCAGATGTTTGGCTTTCTGCACCACCAGAGTCTATTCCCCTTTCACCAGAGACCTCTGCTCATCCCCTCTACTGATTCACCCAAAGCAGTCCCTGCAGCTGCACTTTTGAATGCCTGTAGGAATATATTGACTGCCTACACTTTTGAAAATGATGGTATGGAAACAATTATGGATTGAGGGAAGGACTGGTGAGGGAATCCTTGCAGCTCTTGTACAAATTTGCAGTGACCCCTTGACTATCAAGCAGCAGTTCCCATGTTTCCACAGGCTGTTTTTTTTCCAATCAAATAAATTATTTAAGCAATTAATATTAAAATGAAACTTCTGATAATTACATATAAAAACTGGAAAAGTAATTTTGTCCTACAGCATTTACATATTTAAAAATTCTGGAAGTTCTTGGTCCAAGGATTGAGCGCAACCTCTGTGTTTCCTGATGATGTGGAGGTTCCTACAGCTTCATTCAGAGGGCATGCTGAGTGCAAAGCTGAAGCATGCGGGGCTGTAGAAGGTCCCAGCAATCCAGCTGCCCGTGGATTTTCCTGTAGCTTAAGTGGGGATGTCTAAGTTAGGCTGCCCTGAACCTTCCAGAGAAGTCCTGCATTACACTGGAAGTTATCTCCTGTTCCTTAAAGTGTTACATCTCAGAATCTCAGATAGTTCAGCCAAGTGCATCCAAAGCTTGTCTCTCTGAATTCATATGTGGCACGAACTTAAGAGTAACAGGTCATCTAGTCCATTTCCTTGCCCCCAAAAAGCTTGTCCTTTACCATTCCAAGAATCCCTGTTTTGAAGCAAGACTCCCCCTAGCAAAAGGTCTTTAGAGACCTCTGAAAAACCGTAGAACCACCCAATGGTTGTAAAAGGTCTGTGCTTGCGATGCCATGGCTGCTGCAAGCCTCTGGAGCTTAGGACTGTTGCTGATTATTTGCCTTTCTTCTGTGTGGTCCGTGGGCATATGGTCCTGCTCTGAATATTCTGCTCTTTCACTCCAGTGTCTTGACTACAGCAGTGGAGCCCTGACTGGCGACCTCTGTGAAGACCTGTGTGTGGCACAGAAGCTGGTGTACAAGCACTGCCTTTACTATGACAGAGGTAAGAAGGTCATCCAGGCTGACTGGAGAGGTCAGCCCATCATCCTGAAATCCAAGAAGGAAATCTTCTCCAGCTACCAGCATCTCAGTATGCTAGAGGAGGTGGAAACACAGGATATTCCTGAAACAGAGCTGCTGCTCATGATAGCCTTGGAGGTCAAAAATGTCTTGGGGCTAGAACTGTCTAACAGCACCATGGGGCCCCTGTGGACAAGGAAGAAGGGGCCACATTGGAAAGCACAGGTGGCTAGCATGTGGTCCTTGCTCCAGCAGGAAGAATATATCTACTTCAGTTTGCTGCAGGACTTCAGCAAACATGTGTTACGGATTATTGGCTCTTGTGGACACTTTTATGCTGTGGAGTATCTCACAGCTGGACATGGCTGGCACAAAACTCTTTTTCCCTTGGAAAACATGATTGGTTCCTCCCTTGCTGGCCACAGAAGCAGAGTGAGAGCCATCATTGACATTGCACTCAGCTTTCTGGACATGGTGCAGCATTTTGATAATGATTTCTCTCACCGACTTCACCTGTGTGACATCAAACCAGAAAACTTTGCTATCAGGCATGATCTCACGGTAAGTTGGGTCTTTGGGGTGGTGTTGCAGCAATTTGATGTCAAATTCTATTCAGAAAATGGCTGTGTAAAAATGCCACTTCCCTCCTCATACAGCTTTTGGCCAAGTTTTTGCAAAACCAATGCATTTACAAGGGACAGGGGAGGTTCTCTACTGCTTTTACGCTTTGTAATGTGTGCAACCACATTTCAGAGCACTAAATCCTGCTGCTTGTTTCGAGAACTGCTTGCTCAGTTCTGATTTGTTTCACCTCCTCAAAGGCACTGGTACCGACAGGGTCCCTGGATGTGGTAAGGGATGCCACCTGAAGGTAAGGAGATCTCAAAAACTGTAAATGAAGCTGTAATTTGAGTCACAGCAACTATTTCTGGTAGTGATGCTGAACTAAGGCTGAATTCTCTGACCTGACACCAGGGGAACTCCCCACATACAGACACGCGCATCTTTGTGCTTTAGTGTTCAGCTTATCTGGTCTGGAAATGATCCAAGGACAGTGATGTGAAACTCCCTGGTACTGTTACACTTTGACTTTTCATTGTACAGCTGTAACTCAGACCTGAATAGCTATGCATGTTTTCTAATTAGTGATGTAGCTCAGCACCACATTGCTGAACACATCTTGCATTCATTCTGCGGGCAGAAGTTCCACTGGTTTCGGTGGGAATTGTGTGGATGGACTGGAGACACTGTGCAGTAACTGTTTGAACCAGACTCACAATTTGCAGCGATGTCAGTGGAGTTTCTGCACTCTGAGTGAATAAAAAAGCATTTTCAGGGTCTTTAATGGTATTTTCAGTACTCACTGAGTGTTGATATAACACTCACATCTTCAGAGTACTAGACAAACATTGCCTAAACGTACAGCCATTAAGAGCAATCAGAGTGCTTCCCCTTCAGCCTTCCCTTCCCTCCCATTGTTTATTCAGGTGCATTACAGCAGTTGAACAGGGAATATGTGAGGAGCTATATAGAGAAACTAAGAAAGTGTACCAGTATTTAGGCAAAGCGAGGTATGGCAGGGATTCCGCAAGGTGGACTTTGCCTGTCTTTTTCAGTTACACAGGGCTGTGACTGCCCGTGACTGAGCACATGACCAGAGCATCTGTTTTGCAGCCTACTTACAGGAGAAGAGATTTCATTTAGGAAAAGAGAAAGAATATTAGATGTGTCTTCCCTTATGAGTCCTTTTGGTGAGACTTGCTTCTTTAGGATCTGCCCATGACTTCTGGGGTCCAAAGAGACAGCAGTCTGGTATAGGGAAGTATTCTAATTTAGTATTTTCTAGGAGAAATAATTAAAAATGAAAGTGAGTTGCCGCTTACACATGTCAGTCATACATTACTTACAGCCTATTGGTATCATCTATTATCACTCCACTGGGCTGGGAGACAGGAGACACGCACAGGCAGAAAGCTGCAGGGTGTGTGGGGGGGAACAGACAGCTTCTGACTGGTGAAGAAGGAAGGAGAGAGAAGCAGAAGCTCTAGGTGGTTTTATCAACCAGTTCTAGAACAGAGACACAGTGAGGCTGCCTCTTTTTTTGTCCCTCATGTTTGTTTTAAGCAGTTTTTTCACTTGCTTGTTTCTTGCTCTCTGTGTAGGATGATAACAAACAACCATAATAGTACCCCCACTCCTCATCCCGGTAAGGAGACTGCAAATACCCAAAGAAACGTGCCTGGAGTGCAACAGTTTTACTTTGAGGATTATTTTCAAATGGTGGGGATGAGCCTCCAGCCCTCACTCCAGCCTTCACATGCTGTTTCTGCAGCATGGAGGGGAAAGATCACTGCCTGGTAAATCATTGAGTGGAATTTTAAGCTGCTATGGAGCTACATAAGGGGCAGAGTTGGAAGGAGCTCTGGGTGAATACACAGTGCTCTGGGAGAGCTTCCTATTTTGCCAGCAACTCAGAGCGAACTAAAAAGATCACAGCACCTTAAATATGACTTTAAATTGGATCAGGAGCCAAGCTGGGTCCTTTTGCATTTCCTTGGGTACCTCCATCATCAATTACAATCATAACAAACCCCACCAAAATGTAGCTGTTTATAGGTAGAGTGTCACCTAGATCTATCTTCACAGGGTCTGGCTGGATGCCCCCATCATTTTTGTAACAGATGAACTTCAGTGAAAACCACTGAACCCTTTGGCAGCCACACATTTGTGAATGAGGGCTGTTTTTCCTAGCAGAGCAATTAATCAGGTTGTCAAAGATGCTCAGTGCTGGCAGAGACCCCACCAGGGAGCTGATGCAGCGACCCAAGGACTGGGGAAACCCTGCACTGGTTTTACTGTCTCTTCTCCAATGAAGTGAACAGCAAAACTGCAGAAAGCTTAAGGAAGTAAAGACAAAAAGAAAAAAAAAAAGTTCCTGTCCGAACGTGTGAAATCCCTTAAGCTACATCATCATTATCAAGCTCTCCAAGAAGCTTAAAAATACTTGAGTTTTTAAGCTATGCCTCATCTCTTTAAGATTCTCCCTGGTGAAAAAGAAGAATAAAATGATGATTAGACCTTGTTCTTCCTTTTGCCTGTGGAAGGTTTATTTGGCCTTCTACCAGACCAGACATCTTCAGTTCCTGGGGTTGATCCAGCTGCTGCTCCAGCCACACAGTTCAGCTTCCCCTGTTATTTGGGAGGTCAAATCGTAGAAATGAGACTATCATTTGAGCCCAAGTAACTCTGCTTTGCCCAGGTCCCAGATGCTTCCCTCCATAAAAATGTGTGTCAGTCTCTGACCCTGACTGTCAAGTGTTGAGTGCAGCTCCGAACGTACGCTGATAGCTGTTATCACCTCGCTGAAGGCAGACAGCAGTCACTGTGCTCACCCACAGTTTGTCTCAGGTCAAGCAGCTGCCATCTTGCTACTGGCTTCCTTTCTTTCCCTGTTTATTGCTGTGGGTTTTTAAAGTGAAGTATTAATGACACTGTCAGTATTAGTGAAGTATTACTGGAAGTGTTAGTGACACAGGCAGAAACTGAGGCTACAGCCCTTTTTGCTCCCAGAATGGCCTCAAACCTGGCACGAGCAGCAGCCCTGCAGACAGACCACTCTGTGCTGTGTATTCACTATTTTGCAAGGCTTGTGTCAGGGTGAGAAAATTGATTGATCCCTTCAGTCCTTGCTTTTTCTGCTGAGACCAACTGCGGGCTGGATGCTGTTATAGACCATATTTCTGGACAAGCAGAGCAAGAACCATGCACAATAAATGAGTCAATCCATAGAAAACAGGACCAGGCAAAACCAGTCCTGACCTTCCACAGCCTCAGGGATCTCTTTGTACAGCTGAGCAGACTCAAACCCACTGAATGCAGTGGCAGGTTTGCAGGAGTTGTACCAGGTGCAGGTACTTCTGCGCATCCTGCTGCTCCTCACCACAACGGTGAAGTTAGGGGTTTAGTCTGAATGGTGCATTTGAAATTATACTGTCGGGTCTGTGGGTAATTTTGCACCATCATAAAATGAAAAGGCGGAGGTGCCATCTGCGTAAACTGCGACAACAAGTAGATCAGTCTTCAAGCTGGATAGTCCCAGTTCAAGGCGAATCAAGCCAGTTGACTCCAGGGATGCATATTGTCCACAGATAATTTTCCTTTTCCTGGTATCGTAAGCATTGGCAGTTTTTGTTTAAAAAAGTGGTATTCACAAGACTGGTGCAGCTCAGTTAAGCAAAATAAAGCCCTTTCATTAAAATTCCAGTTATCCACTGTCAGATGCTCTCACCACAACATTTCCAAAAGCAAAAAACAGGAATGCTTGCTCAGCCCTGTCCTGCAGGCTGTGCCATGCCAGATCTGATGGGTTGTTTTGATCCACAGGTGGTGGCCATTGATGTAGATATGGCCTTTTTTGAACCCAAAATGAGGGACATCCTCGAACAGAACTGCACAGGAGACGAAGACTGTAATTTTTTTGATTGCTTTTCAAAATGCAATCTGAAAATCAGAAAATGTGGAGCACAGAGAGCCAATAACAACTTGCAAGTGAGTACACACAGCTGCTTTATGCATCCATTTATTTTAAAATCACGTTGACTATAAAATGCATGGTATGTACTGGGACACTGTGAGATGAAGACAGGTTTTAAAATGTGGCCATATTAGTGCCAGTTCTGTTCAGAAATCCCATCTTGGAGCATGCAAACAGACTGCTACATTCAGTAGCGTTTATTTGCCACATTTTCATGTAGCTGTTAGCCCAATGCCTTGGATAGAAGAGTGGAGGAAGTAGGGGCAGGGGATTGTTGTTACTGTCTCCAATAAGGGTGAAGTCATGGCTGTCCATGTGTAAGCATGGGGACTTATGGCTGCAATCCTCCATGCTACAGACATTGTATGTGGATGTAGTGGAGAGAGGAGTCTTGGCCTCGGGATGAGGTGTCTTATAGCGCACCTCTCTGTGCTGGTGGGAGGCACCAGCACAGCAGAGAGGCTGGGGAAGTGTAGCTGTAGCTTGGCAGCCTTTTGCCTGCTTCTCCCACCCCCTCACCCTCACCACTTGTTATGCAGAAGTGCAAGAGCAGTCTGAGAAGTAGGGGGTTTCCTCAGCTAGAGTGTTGCCTTTGTGGATGCTCCTGTTCCATACCTTCCTCTTGGAATGGCTGGAGGCATTTTGGGTTCAGATGACATTTTGCTACAGTCCCAGAGAAGCAGCAGGGCATTAGTCGTGGCTCCTGAAAGACAACAATCTGCTGTCGTTCCTTTCCTCAGGTAATTTGTGACAAAATATTCCGTCGCTGGTTTTCCCCAAATCTCAGAGGACCATTGGTTTCCTTCCCCCTGCAGCTGCAGCTGCAGAAGGCCGTGCAGGAATGTGCTGAACCAGGGTATGAGGATGCTGCCAGGCACCAGAGGACTCTGAAATCTCTCTCCAAGTTGTATCACCTCCTTCGGGTCACCCAGCAAGAACTGCAAAGGGCAGAGTAGGCACAAAAGGCAGAACTGCAAGGGCCACATCCCAGGCACTCTAAGGGACTCTGTGTGTGAGGCAGCCTGGGTTTTCTTTTTCTCTCTCTCTCTTCCATTCCTCCTACCCATTGTATTACATTCACAGCAGAGAGATTGTTTTTCTCCTATGCAAATGAAATTCATGGCTGCAGGTGCAGCTCGTCCTTTTAATATCCTTTGAAGTGTGAAATTGGTTTTAATTACCTGGATTCTGTTCTTGCTTGTTTTCCTGAGCTAGCATTAGCCCTTTCCATCAGCGTTGGGTGCATCATTTGCTTACCAAGCACTGTAGTCACTGCTCAGATAGCATCTGTCTGCGTGCGGCTGCTCAGAGTGAGGATGCATTACAGAAGAAGAGTGCAAGTGCAGCAAAATCAATATCAATAATTAAAATGGTGGGTGGGTGCAGATAAGTATGTGCATGGTATTTGTTTTAATTTCTTTCTAGAATTACCTTTTTTTTTTTTTTTTTTTAAAGTAGGGACAGAGTGTTCTGTGTGAAAAGACAACCTCAAATGGGGAAATGTATTGTAACGCAAGTGAAGAGTTGCTTTTTTTAAAAAGCAGTCCTGTCTGATGTTCCCTGGTGTGTTGTATTACCTGTGCCACAGCTAACTTTCTAGGCAGAAATTATATGAAGGTACTTAGGACTTTTCTAGAGCAAAATAATTATACCCTTGTTGAGTTCCCATGTGGGTACTCATATTCTGCAGTGGAGAGGTATGAATAATACCAGTGAATTTTCCCATGTGAACAAGCCCTCAGGCACTTGAACATCAGAGCACTTGATGAGAAGCCCTCCTTTGCCAGAGAGCAGATTTACCCAGCAGTGCCAACAATCTGTCCTTTGCGCTGAACAGAACAATATCCAGAATCAGAGTTTTCTTACACAGTATTTTTTAATGAACAAAAGGAAATTTTTCATAAGAATTCATTATCTTGCAATCATTTACATAAATAAAGATCCCTAGATTAACTTAAAATCATTGACTTTGCCTTTCAAATGTGTGTGGCTATGGCTGGAGAATCTAACACGTGGGTTCAGAAGACATTGCATGTATTTAGGCCCAAGGGAAGGCACAGAGATGATGCTGCAAATCCTGGTGGTGTGATCAGGGTTCGTGTGCTCCCCACAGGACCTCCCTGCTGAAGGCACTGATCCTTGCTAGGTCAGGAGTGACTCAGTATGTACCCCAAACGCTGCTGGGAAACTTGAAGATCTTTTGCATTATCGCTGTCCTGTTTCCCTTGTCCCATTAATTGTTTCCTCCTTCCCAAGCCCAGAGGGTACCATCAAGGAAAATCAAGCATCACGCAGACACTCGGTGCTTTGCAGCAGTGTTACACTCCACCATGGCAGGGCTCCCCTTCCCATTTTCAGATTTGCACTTCAAACAGGGTTCATTTCTGTTGGATGTGATGTTTCAGTTTTAAAACAGGTGGAAAAAACAGTGAAATGAAACCTGGTGGCAGCCAGACGCTGGTGGAATGACACTCTACTCAGAAGATCTGTCTCCTTGGCAGGGTTTAGGAAGGGAAGCCGCCTTTGACAGATTTCTCCAAACTCCTCAGGGCTTGGCTGCAGCCACCTCCACTTGGCAGGGACCTGCTTCCCCCACACCACACACTTTCCCAGGTCATTAGGTTTCACTTCTTCTTTTCAGGATACAAAGAGTAATCCTCAGAAAGCTCTCAAGAGCGACACAAATGGGTTATTTGTACTTGGCCGGGCTGTGAGATTGCATATCAGTGATGCACTGGCTCTGGCTGGCTGGGGTACACCTACACCGGTGAGTGGAAAGACAGGGAGAATCTGACAGGCTCTGTGAACACAGGGCCTGATTCTTCACTGTCCCCCCCCCCAGCCCCGCGCATTGTAAAGTCACTCAAACTTGGGAAACAGGAGAGAAAAAGGCTACCCGTGAAACAAATTAAGTATTACAACTTATTTAGCATGGGTACCAGTGACCAAAACAGGAATAAACCAGTAGTCATGCCTTTATCTTCCTGGGGCAGAAGTAGAATAAGACACTGGTTTTGTTGCCATTTACCTTAAGGACGCAAGTGCAAACTGCATTGTTTTACACCCATGTTTTATGGTGGAAATCTCTATACAGGAATTTGGCAATGAAGAACCAGTCCCTTCCAACAAAGCCCTTTTCATACTGCCTTGGCAGCGCTGCTCACCAAAAGTAGCCCTGGCATAAAGAGATACCCAGCTGGCACACACTTCAGAGGGCATGGCCAGGTCAGGCGGGTATTGAGTGAGAGTCCTGTATGGTGTGGAACCCGGGCTGTTGGCACAGTTTGTTGCAATACAACAGCCAGCAGTGATAGCTGGGAAATTCTGCAGTGAAACAGTCCTGAGGTCTGGGCAAAAAATTAAAACTTGTCAAAAGTTATATCATGTGCTACAAGGGTTTAATTAAAAAACAAAACAAAACACCAAAACCCTCAATTTAAAATGCTTTTAAGTAAATTTTGAACATGTCTAACATACTCAGTTTTGACAGTTTCTGTATGTAAAAATCTGCAAGTTATTTTCTCACTTTTGTTTAATTCACACTGAAAAGGTTTGCAAAGTAAAAAGATGAAGACTGAAATTAATCCCAATTTAAAAAACAGTGTTTCATCTGGTCTGTTCAGTGAAGCTTGTTAGTACCCTCATCGCTTTCTGATGTTTACTTTTCATCCCAATTCAGATGAGAAATTTAATGAAAGCTCAAAATCATTTGCAAAGCCTTTTTCACCCAGCCCCAGTGGTCGGATCTGGAAAAGAGGAGGTCCACATATAGTTTTTGAAGTAATTTTTGCTTCCCACTTCATTTCTGCCTACTCTTTGTGATTTTAACTTAGGCTGCAATGGTTTCTCTCACTTTCAGGCATCTCCAAAGCTTCTGCCTACTGGCATCCCTGTTTGGTATCTAGTTCAGTGCAGATTTGTGAAATCATAGATGACATAAGATTCTTCACACTGTTCATCCCCTCCATATAAGAGATGACTCTTCTTATATAGGTTCATTAATAGCATTTGGCGGCACTGGGAATGGCCACCTAATCCAAGAAGGCTGTTCCTGTTCAATTGATCTCAGCCCCATCTCTGTGCTTGGCCAGTCTGCTCCTGAATCCTTTCCACCCAATAAAAGTGGCACTACCTCTTGATTAATTTCTACCCCTTGCTGTATTAGTGCCTTACTCAGCAACTTTCTGCCCATATTTATGACTCTCTGTGGAAAAGGAATGACATTAAGTTATTGTTTATTCCTTCTTTGCATCTCAGCTAGCACCATGTACTTCAACTGCAGTAATGTAAATACAGTATCTTTTCCCACATTTTACAAGAGGTGAGTCCAGTTGGAGGTCTACTTCATAATCTTTAGGAAAGATAAATTCAACTCTTTGCTCAAGATTTTCACAGAACAGCTACTTCTTAAATACAGTTTTTTGTCCAATTGGCACTGCAAAAACATCTGCAAGCAATAGTCCTGCACTAGGGTCATGTGGAACAGAACAAAACTCCTTACCCCAAAGGATTTACATGGTCTCCCTTGTGTTTTGAGGTTAACTTAATGGTGACTAACCCGGAACAGCAGGTCATTACTATAGTCACAGTTTTTCATATAGAGCCTACTACTCCCTAGTGTGAATTCACTGACCCCCTGTCTACAGAGTACATTCAGATTCATTGCTCAAGTCAGCACCAGATATAACAACAGATATTTGTGACAGGGGGAGTAGAAATCAAAGGGTTTGTTTTCTTTTGATGAGAAACATTGACCAAACAAAACACAGGTGAAAGATGTGATTCAGGAATTTGAAGTAGTTAGGGACTTCTCACTGATTTATTTTTTCCCTTGGTTAAAAAGTGTAGACCCAAGCTGCCCTATTTATTTCTTATGTAGTTTAAAAAAAAAAATTAAAGAAGCCACATACCATGTTTCCTGTCTTTCAGCAGATCATATTGTTGTATGTAATGGGCAGGAAGGTGATAAATTGCAGCTTTTAACAAGTGTCAGGCTATAACATGAGAGCTTTGTGGTTGTAATATCAGTTTACACATCTGGAAAATCAACTGTAACAAAACCCATAACCAGTGTTAGTAGAAGCATACGATCAGATTAGGCATCTTGGCAGATGCTCTCAGAAGCCTAGTACAGATGAGCGATGAAATCCGTCTGCGGGGGGCTGACCTGCAGTGAGGCCAAGCAATAAGCACTCACTCTGCAGGAGCCTCAGTCGCTGCCACTTTCCAGGATCCTGAGTGAAATCGGGAGAAAGGCTACTGGGCTTTCAGTAGCAGAAAAAGGCAGCAACATGTAGACAGGGAAAGAATGAGTTGCTTGGAAGCATGAAAATCCGGGCCAACTGAACGCAGAACTGAAGCTAGTAAGAGATCCTGTACTGAAAAAATCAGAGAAGGTCAATAAATTGATTGGAAAAAAAATCCCAAACACTTCTATTGTAGTTCTTTAAAATAAGAAAGAACAGCAGCACAGGAGATATATAGCACAGGCATCTCCAAAGCCATTTCTTGTGTATGTCTAAGGATCCGTCAAGTAGACTGCGGAGCTGTATAATGATGTCTGCAACCTAAAGGCTAGACAGAATAAAATCGCTTAGCAAAAGCTTTTAGAACTGTTATTTACATAAATGCAGAAAACTGCCCTAATTAGTAACAGCCTATGTTGGCCAAAAAAGGAGAAAGGAGTGCTTTTCTCAACAAAAGTGTCATTACATCTATGAATTAAAGTATAGCAAAATGTTGAAATCCCTGAAAGGCTATGATCCATAATCCTGTGGTTTGTTTAAAGTTTTGATCCTGCAGGTTTGGGCCTCTAAGCAGCAGAGTGATTGCTGAGCTCCTTTAAACTCTGTGATTATTGGTGTCTTCTGCAATATACTTTGAGCTCCTTTTTCTGAAAGCTGGAGGGGCTTTTTCTTACACCACAAATGTGGTGACGGCAGCCAGAAGGATGTGCATATGATCCAGTGCATAATCACTTCCACAAGCATCTGCTGCTCGTGCTTTCAAGATACATGTAATCCAATCTGGAGACTATTGTGAATACCTCTCATTTTCCCTTGCTGGTTCCTTAGCGGTTTGTTTGCAGCTAGTTAGAAACAGAGTCCCTCCCTCCCCCCTTAAATTGGTTATAATCTCTCCAAGATTTGTGCTATAGCAGGAAAA